ATTTGCCTTCAATATGGCATCCTTGGACTTCGAGATGCATGTATCTGATTGAGGTTAACTGCAGTCCTTTAATTGAGACATCTCAGGAAAGTCAAAATATCTTTTAATATGATTGAGAACAAAAATTTGAGAAGTTAAGGGCCCTGGCCCTGAGCCTCGAAGGGAGGTCAATGTTAGCCTTTATACTATCCCAAACAGAATAGTGTATTGAATTATTTGAACTACTTTTCCTAGATTACCTAAAGAGCATTGAGATTATGTAATCTATTCAGAATTTCAAAGCTTGGAAGTGGCACATAGACAGCTATTTTTTCCCCAGAAAAAAAATATCTGTTTTTATGGGCTTGCTAAACTTATTCTATTATGATAATTCATTCTGGCTTTAGGAGGGGGACCTTTGTGGACTTGAACAATTTTTTTGTAATTGTATACAGTTGAACTCTAGTTTTCCAATAGCATGTGTACAACTTTGTTCACTTACAAAAATGTTTCTTGCATCACAAGTTTCTTTTACATGAAATTGCAGGGTGTGTGGCTAGTCCTACTATTGCTAATGTGGATGACTGCACTGAAGGTGAAGGTGCACTGGGGTACACAATGACCGAAATCTGTGATAAGTTTATTGAGTTCTTCATGTACAAGAAACCACAAACAAAGGACTGGAGAAAATTATTGGTGTTTAGAGAGGAGTGGGAAAGATACAGACCATACTTTTACAAGCATTCTCAAGCACGTATAGATATGGAAAATGATTCTTCAATGAAGCAAAAGTTGGTTGTACTTGCTAGAAAAGTTAAGAAGGTTGCTCTCTATATGCATCCTTATCTTTTGTAAATCTGTTTGAACGAAGATTTATTTCATAATATGATTGCTAGAAATCCACCATGAAAACTTAAGATTTTTTGTGACACAATATATTGGACAGTAGGTCACAAAACTCATAATAAACATATATGTTTATATCAATCATAATGTTGTGACTTGCGAATCTACCTCATGTTTGCAATTTACTTCTCAGATTGACGATGAGATAGAGAAGCACATGGAACTCTTCACACAGCTCCGCGAGAATCCCACTGATATTAATGACATTGTTGCAAGAAGACGAAAGGATTTCAATGGAGGGTTCTTCCAACATCTTAATTTTCTTGTAAATGCATATAATGGTCTTGATGAGAGAGATGGTAACTATACGCTTTTAACAATTATTCATTCCCAAATTGTGCTTATCTAATTACTTTATTTTTCAAGTATTGAGATGATTAACAAACAACTCAAAGAATTCACTGTGAATTAACTGAACATTGGGTTTTTGACCACCTTGAATTGCTTTAGCATGATCACTGGTTTCCAACAGTTGGAAATGGAAAATGAAAAAAGATTTGACCTGGAATTTAGAAGCTACTTATCTAGTTCCCAGTTTAAAACAATACATTTATTTAGTATTTTTTACTGCTTTGACTTGTTTTCACATCCAATCGATCTGTTTTATCGAGCATGTTCATTAAGTGCATATCAAGAGTGTGAATTGGCGAACAAAAGCTTACGTTCGCCTTTAGTTTTAACTTTTGTCCCCAAGTACCACTTGATGAGTTGTAAGACCATGTGGAGATGATCTAGGTTTTTGTGATGAATAATTGGCAATGCTAGATATTCAGTCCAGCATGAGGTTGCACTTCTTGTGTGTGCTAAAAGAAATACTTTTTTTGTCTCTAAATACTGCAGCAATTGCCAGGCTTGGGCTAGGTGCCTGTCTGCAATCCATGCATATGACTGCACACTGGAGCAGTTGGACCTTGATTCTGCTCAATCAAAGTTTGGCTGTGTTTAGTTCTTGAAATTGGGGAGAAGTTTAGAGAAAGTTGGTAGTTTGGAAAAAAAAGTTGGAAGTTTATGTGTGTACGTAGGAAAGTTTTGGATGTGATGTGATGGAAAGTTAGGAGTTGGGGGGAAGCTTGGGTGGAACTAAACACGGCCTTTGATGACATTCTGAATTCTTCTTCCCTGGATGATGCATGTGACAAGATTAAAAGCTTAGCCAAGACTAAAGAACTCGATTCATCCTTAATTCTTCTAATAAACAGAGCGTGGGCTGCTGCAAAAGACTCTACAACTATGAAGAATGAGGTTGGTCTTTGTGAAATTTAAACAAAGCTCTATATTTATTCTATGTTTTGATCATGATTTCTTGTTTCCCCACCTGAGTTTTGGGGATACTTAGGCAACTCGACCTACCTTAAACAATATGGATCGTTTCGCTGAATATATGTATACTTCAATCTCCAACAGTTTATATAAGTTGGTAGGAAAAAAGTGTTCCAATTCTACATAGATATGAAATGAAAAATGTTCTATTCTGTTCTGCATTTTTTTCTTTTCCATGCTAATAATCATCCTGCGAATTCAATCTTTACTATCACTAGCCCATCTCTGGACTAGTTCATCTGACAGCTCCATTCATTTCAGATGACATGGCCCAATGATGTTGCGTGAAACCTTAATGCTTTCATTGCTTTATATATTGTGCATCATAGATGAAGTAGCTGGAATATTTATATTCCCTTCTTCCACCAAATAATTTATAAAGTACTACATATTACCACCAGGTTCAACTTGTCAGGCAGGTTGAAGTGCGTCATAGAGGTGTATTTTGCCCAAATCAAACGACTTCTTGAAGTGTGCATAGCAAGTCACAAAAACACACGGGCAAACGGGGCACTAGCTTGGTATCATACACCATATTTTTTGCATTCTACTACCCCTAGTTCTCAAAGTATTTTTTATCTCCTATTCCATCTCTAACCTGCCAAAGACTACACAAGCTCTGTCAATTATGGTGTGAGCAGAGTGATACATGCAAGCTCTTCGTCTCTGCTAGCTACTGCAGTCATCACACCCGACCACACACTTTGCGGCTTCATGTTCCCTCTTCATCTCAAGTTCTCAACCTCTGAATGGGTTTGGGCAATCTTCTGCACACTCATACTCATTTTTTTTCTTATGCTTCCTTGTTGAGTTCTTCTTATCTGCTCAGATCCCACCTAATAGTTCTCGTGAATATAAAAATGATGATCTCAGCCATAAAAATACCTTCAGAGAGCTCTTATAGAGAACCACTGTCACCAGGGAAGGCACCTGCAACCAGTTGACCCCTCTGCCTAGTCATGTGAGTCAGCAAGTCACAACTTACTAACCATTGAGGAGGTCAGTGAGCTTGATAGCATTGAGGACTTGAGGTCCTCATAGGAGCAGAGTGCAAGTGGAGATCACTTTAAAGGTCATGCTGCCAAGGACAAGAGGGAGACTGAAAGAATGGTTGGGGGAAAGAGGGAGAGAAGCTGAGGTTGGTGAGATGAATGTTTGCACCCTACAAAGAACTGCATAACTTTTACCACTTATTGGAGCAAATAAGTAGTGCCATGATCTTTGTACCCTCCTACCATGTTGTTGCACGTGTTTACACTCTGTATTTTAAGTAGTAGAGAATATGATGTATGGAATAAGCATGGTTGGAAGTTAATTAACAGGATATGTTCTTGCTGTTTTCCTATAATTAAGTTTGTTTCAATTGGACCATTTACTGCTTTACGGTGCGGTACACTAGGGCTACAATTTTGTAATAATAAACCATTGTGCTCATCCTATGATGCAGAGGCTATTTATTCCATTATCCAAAATTATGCTGTAACTATTGTTGTTTGAAGCTTTTGATTAGTTAAATGTATAATATTGGTCTCAGACCTGTAAACATGTCTGTTTATGCATAATTATCATTTTTGTCATAGGTTAAAGATATAATGTATCATATCTATACAACAACTAAGGAAAGCCTCAAGAGCATCTCACCTCCAGAGATGAAGCTTCTGAAGTACCTATTGAATATTGAAGATCCTGAAGAGCGGTTTGGTGCTCTTGCAACAGCCTTTTCTCCGGGAGACGAGCATGAAGCCAAGGATGAAGATGCTCTCTACACGTAAGAAACTATCGACAGATATATATGATGAGAAAGTTTTACTGATTCCTTTCCCAGAAACTATTTGAGGTTTTTTTTTTTGTCTTCTTTTTGTTATAATCTTTTTAGTTTATTAAAATAGTCGATTAGGAATGTTAATTATATTACTTTTAAAGTAAACACTTGCTAAGATTAACATGCTCCACTGAACTATCATTTAGTGATGTGTAAGCATTAAGCTTACTTATCTAATCTGAAAAATCAATATGCATGAAGTTGGATCCCCAAGACATATACTAATATTTGTGTGCAATCAGTCGTCCAAAATAGAGTTGTAGTAAAGGTTGTAATAGTTCTTGCTTCTTCATCTGGCCTTTTCTCTTTTTCTTTTCTTCAACTATTCATCATTGGAGATTAACTATGTTTCATTGCATTTCATTCACATGTACCCGGTGAATGTAAGTCAATTAACCAGAACGGTGCACAATTTGTCAGGAGAACATTGTTTTGACTTTTAACTCCATGTTTCTGCATTGAACTTGCAAATAAAAATAAAGAGCCATGTTTATCAGAATAAAATGGTTTTTGTTGGAAAGCTGTTGTTTTTTATACTGAAGTTCGAACAAGCTGTTGAGCCATGCACCATAATTTGATTCAGTAAGATGTTACCCTTGTATTGTTGTATATGACCTTTGGTTTCAGCAAGGTGGTTATTAATTTATATTGACTTCTTTTCGGGGAAGGTGGTTATTATGACGTGTGTGATACTGTTTTCAGTGACCTGCTTATGAGGTGTCATCTGTTGCTTACTTGAGTTAAGATATAGAATCCAGATTCCTATCGATGATATATATAAAAAGAAAAATCAAAACCTTGAGGCTGGGTTCTGACTTCTGACGACGATATATGGCAAAGGGAACAAATTAAGCGGCCGGCGGCTGGTGTCTTCATCTGATCATCTCCCGTAGCGGTGGCAAGCCTTCCAACACATGGCTCTCCATGTGTCACTCTGCATGCGCAGCAGAGGATGCACCGTTTCCCCCAGGAGATGATCATATCTACACTACGCGGACCTCGATCGCATGCATCATTATCACTACTGCTCCACCACTTCCTCTCCCAGTTGCCACGACAAGCTAGCTAGCGAACGTCGTGTAGCCATGGCGCCGCTTCTCCTGCTACGCCTCTTGCTTTTGGCAGGTGCGGCCACGGCGGCGGCGGTAGCAGCGGACAACGCCACGGCCACGGGCGGCAGCGGCGACGGCGCCACCGGGAACAATAATAACAATAACAATCCGACCATATGCAGCGGCGAAGGTTGCCAGCCGCCGCCAGGGCAGCCGCTGCCGATCTACGGCTACCCTTCGCCTCCGCCGCCGTCTCAACCGGCCGGACCGTCGTCGCACACGCCACCGTGCCCGCCGGCGGCGGTCGTCTGCTGCGGCGGCGGCGGCGGCGGCGGGCAGTACACGCCGCAGCAGCCGTACTACTACGCGCCCCCTGCCGGCTACGTCCCGTACTACAACAACTCCGCTGCCTCGCCTCCGGTGCTGCTCGCTCATGCGGCCGTTGGTTATTATTATTACGTGATGGCTGCTTATCTCTTACTCTGGCTTGTGGTGTAGTAGTATAATACTCCAGTATATATATAGCGATTATAAAGGAGTAACATGTATACATGGACAAGTGTGTATTTCATATACTCCAGTACATCTGTATTTTGGAATTTGGAATAATACGGTCGTGTATCATGATCATCCCAAAGCCCGTATAGTAACTGCGAATACTAGGCACTAGTATCCGTGCCGTGCATGACAACGAAAAAGTACACTGATGGCTGATGGCTGATGCGGGATATATATGCCTAGCTATTACACATCCTCGGAATCAAAAGTGAAGGGTATATTCATCTCTATCCAAATCTATTTGTAGATTAGTCTTAACTAACTATTATTTTAACAAATGCTAAAAATAGCATGCATCATCTCTTTTATGTGGGAGATGCAAACTAAGCTTCAAATGAAACTTTGTTTTCAATTACTCCGATTATACATTGTATGTATACATTGCATTAATTCTAATTAAGTATTTATAAAAGATAGATATTTTAAATTAATTTTAAATTTGAATAAATTACTTCTTATATACTTATGGGTTCTTTATTTTTATTGTTATCTTTGTTAGTTTTATAATTTAAGTTTATTAAATTTAATTTCTCAATAGACTTAAGACTTGTCTTTACCGCACAACGGATTACTTTTAATGCAGTAACAATTTTTTTTTATTTTGGACTAAGTTACTTTTATGATATGATTTACGTGAATTACATTAGGGTTTAACGAATTTAGTTTTATAAATGTCTAACATGAAAAAGTAATTAAAAAGTTTACATATATGATAAAAGTAATTTAAAATATACATATTTTTATTACAACATAATTATGTGATATTTTATTATAAAATTTTTTTAATAAATACATTGGTGTAATTGAATTGTAAATCGGATAAGTATTTTAAGAGAAAATTATATAACAACAAAAAAAACAACATGGATGACCTAGCTAGCAAAAACAAATGCTGAGCTTGTCGTGATACTTTTCTCACGCATGGTTACCTATCAAAAGCAGTTCTACTCCGTATAAGACTAAATAGTACGCATGCACTATTTAGGTTTTTCCATTTGTAGAACTAGTAATATACCAGTACTAAACGCTACGGTGCAATTCTATTTATGTTTAAGAACTTTTAAGATTTCATGTTAGCAAAGAAATCCGTAGATTGCAATGCAAATATATATTAATGAGCTCAAATATATTAGTATATATTTTATTCACACGCCACACACATGTATAGATAGTAGTATGCCCGTGCATTGCAACGGGGAAAATTCACACCAAGTGAAATGATGGTAAATAATCATTGAGTGTAAATCAGCTGTAACAAAATATTTAATATAGAACTAATAGTAATTATGTCACATATTTATAATTTTCACATGTTTATAGTATTCACATCACTAATGGAGAGAATGGCTCTTCTCTTCCGGTTGGGAACCCCCTATACTCCCGGTTATATAACCGGGACCACAAATCTGGGACTAACGATGACTATTCTTTAGTCTCGGTTAAAATAAACGGGAGTAAAAATCCATTTTTAGTCCTAACACCAACCGGGACTAAAAATAAAGACAGGCTAGGTCCGGTTGCTTTTTTTTTTTCATTATTTTTAACATTGAAGATTGATTTCATCCCATTCACAAATCATTCCAAATCGTCCCAAATCGATCATCACATCACATATCAAAAGGATCCTCCCAAATCCTCAAATCGATTATCTCCAAATACATCACAAATTCTTAAAAAAAATTACATCACAGGTTCTAAAAAAATTCATCACAAATATATAATACATTCATCAGATCACAAACAAATCAAATAGTACATCTCAGATCCGAATCAAAAATCTCAAAAAAAAGAAAAGAAAAAACTAAGGGCGTTGCTCGCCTGCCGCGCCGCCCCGCCGCCCTCCCTCCGCGCCAGCAAAGATCAATATTTTTAACCGGGACTAAAAACAATTTTGCTATTGTGGAAATCAGCCGACCCAGCAAATATCACTTCGCCAGTAGTGTACGTTAGTACCCCATATAACAAAATTGATTAACGGAACGGCACATTAAGAACCTATATATTGATACACTTCATATTTTCACGCAGTACTTTAGAAAGATTGTCTACAGTTTCATCCGCTTCTCATTCCTAATGCATGAAATCATCAATCATTTAAAGCCGTAAGGCTACGATTTTTCTCCTTTTTCAGAATTTTATTTTGGCTCCTCGGAGAATTTGACACGCAGTTGGCAATTTTGCAAAAAGCTCCTCGTATTGCACAGAAAATCGTATGTCCTCGGACCTTCTGATACCCTATCGTGTTTCTTACGGAAAACCCCTCGTTTTTCATAGAAATACAACACGAAGAAGAGAAAATTCCGCTTCTAGAGGTAGCGATGTAAACATGAAAAACGAATACCCTTTTCAGAAAAAATAACAGCATCGAACAGACTCGCGCGTGTCCCGGTGGCATTAAGCCATTAACCAGTTGGCTTGCATGCATGCCACGTACATACACATATATTTTTGTAAGAAAATCCTGCTACATCATCATAATATAATCAAAGTACGTAGGGTATCGTACTCTTCCTTTTTTTCCAAATTGTTTTTCTCCTTGCTTTGGTCCTGTTTAGTTCGCGAAAAGAAAATATTTGGGTGTCACATCGGATGTTTGACCGGATATCGATCGGAAGGGGCTTTCGGACACGAATGAAAAAACTAATTTCATAACTCGCCTGAAAACTGCGAGACGAATCTTTTAAGCATAATTAATCTGTCATTAGTATATATGAGTTACTGTAGTACTTATGGCTAATCATGGATTAATTAGGCTCAAAAGATTCGTCACGTGAATTCCCTTTTAACTGTGTAATTAGTTTTTTTAATCTATAATTAATGCTCCATGCATGTGTCTAAAGATTCGATGTGATGTTTTTAGAAAAAAATTTGGAGGCTAAACCATGCCTTTTTTTCTAACGAGTGTCTGTTCCCTTTTGCCTTCCTCGTTTGGACCAGAGCTACCGGTTTCACCGGTTACCTGAGCGTTTGTGCTCTGTTCTCTCTGTTTTTTTTTCAGCAGCTTTATCTGTGGACACTTGTTGACATGCATGTTTGACGTGTTGTCAGTTACGTTGCAGTGACAACTGCTGCTGTGCATGTCTCCATTGTGGCATTCTCCATTCTGCTTGTCCTTGTGCATGCGTGACATCTGTCTTCCCTTCATCATTATCCTCTTTCTCTCTCACTTTCTCATCCTTCTCGAAGATGTCATTGATGAAAAGATAATAAAGATTATAACTTATATGTCTCAACGCTCTTTTCAAGGAGATAGACGCATCTCACAAGGATATAAGGAGGGCCCGGGTCCCATTACAAGCCGGGGCTCGGACTCCTTATACTCAGAGTTTTGAGTCATTGAAAATCCCTTGTGTACCACTAAAATTTTAGCTAATCTCTTCTATGCCCCTGAATTTTGCTTACTTCCTTGTATACCTCCAAAATTTGATTTTGATATCTTCCATGCCCCTCCCGTCAGTTGACCGTCTAATTTCTATAAAAATGACCATTTTACCCTTTGGATGAACATACAAATTTATGAATTACATTATTGGAAATGTAGAAGTTTGTCACATTAGACTATTATAGTCATGAGTTTGATGTGTGATACATTATTTATGATAAAATTTACTTTTAGATAATGAAATAAATTATATGTATTTATTTTATTTTTTAAAAAGTCATAAAAATGAGGAGTATTCATACAAAGATAGGACTACGAGTGCTCACCATATTTTTTTTAATGAATTCTCACAATAAAAAAATATATTGTCCTATTAAATTTCAAATAAAATTTAATTTTTTACATTTTTTTATTTTCAAAGTTTTTGTCAAAATTTTCCGCACTAATTATTTAGTCTCATTTTCTACCTAAAATGCACATATTGTGCACTTAAACAAAATTTTCAATCGTTTTTCAAGCTTATATTCAAACCTAAATCATCAAGGGCATTAAAGAAATTTGTCACCAACTTAACGGTGAATTGAAGGAAAATGTGACGGCAGGGGCATGGAAGGGATTAAGTTAAAATTTCAAGGGTACAGAAGGGATGGGGTAAATTTCAGGGGTTTAAAAGGATCGACTGAGTTTTCAAGGGTGTACATGAAATTTACTCTTGAATATGACATACGTCTCTACACTCTTCTTTAGATAAAAGGAGAGATACACATAGATAGAAGTGGAGCCAGGTCTTGGGACAAGCCAGTCCCCAAGTCTATCCTAATCATCTTTAAGATGTATTTCTTGTAAACTTCACTGAGATCTGCTCAACTTACAAGGATTCGATGGCCCTAGATCCCGAACCGGGCCATGATCCAGGCTCCCCTCAGTTTAATATTTTAAGATGTAGATCTTATAGGTCTCCACGATCCTCTCCAGGAACACTGAGTTACCTACAAGGATTCGGCAGCCTCGGATCCCGGACCTAGCCATGATCCAGGCTCCCCTTGGCTCAAGATCTTAAGATGTAGATCTTGTACGTCTCCATGCTCCTCTAAAGGAAGCATGCGCAATGTACAAGGGCGAAGGCCTTTTAGTAAGAGAAGTTAAACAGAATGAACATAATTCTTCCCCTGGTCCAGATAGATTTCCTCCAGACTTCTATCAATTTTTCTAGGAGGTCATTAAGGATGACCTGAATGCTCTATTTAGGTTCATAAAGGTACTCTTCCCATGTTTAGAGTGATCTTTGGAACTATTGTGCTACTTCCCAAGAAAGCCGATGCAAAATAAATTCAACAATATAGGCCTATCTGTTTGCTAACTGTCAGCTTCAAAATTTTCACAAAAGTTGGCACTAATAGACTTATATTTGTTGCCCACAAAGTTATTCTCCCAACTCAAACAATATTTCTACCCGGAAGAAATATCATGGAGGGGGTGGTAATTCTACATGAGACTATCCATGAGTTGCATAAAAAAATATGGATGGGATCATTTTGAAAATTATCTTTGAAAAAGGCTAATGATAAGTCAGATGGCAATTCCTTCAACAAACACTACCGGTCTCATCTTTTCGCTTATGCTTTTGCTTATCAGCCAAAATTTAAATTTTCAACCTTAAATTTGGAGTTGATTTTGGGGTTTTTTCATCATAGTTT